TACGTACTACTACGTACTACTACTACTACTACTACTACTACGTACTACTACTACTACTACTACTACTACTACTACTACTACTACTACTACTACTACTACTACTACTACTACTACTACTACTACTACTACTACTACTACTCTCTCTCTCTCTCTCTCTCTCTCTCTCTCTCTCTCTCTCTCTCTCTCTCTCTCTCTCTCTCTCTCTCTCTCTCTCTCTCTCTCACACACACACACATTCCCATTTCAAAGTTTGGTCTCCAGTGCCAATTTTAAGCTAAATGCATTCTCCCAACTAATTATTCTTGAGTTAAAAAATTAAGCTAATTATCAGATAACAGAACATAAAAAGAGCACCAGCAATCCAATAATACTAAGAAAATCCCTCTCTCTCTCCTAATTGAGTGGAAAACATCCATATAGAAGAGCTTAGATTTCTCAAGAAACAAAAAGCCCACCTGAGATTGGAATAGCAAGTATATCACCAGGATCAATAGAAGGGCTCCCCAATTTGTTCACACCCACAAGATCTGTAACTGTAGTCCCGTAAGCTCCAGCAATGCTATCCAAACTGTCCCCTTCTCTAACAACATAAGATAAATACAAAGCAGTGACCCCATTATCAGTGTTATTGAAGCAGGTGCAGGGTAATGGGATTTTCAGAGACTGTCCACTCTCTAGAGAACTAGACGAATTGTCCAAGTCATTGGCTGCTTTTATCTGGTCAGGACTAACCAGGTTTCCAAAACCAGTACAAATGCTCTCGATTGTATCGATTGGTTGAACAGTGTAAAGTGTCGATACAGACTGGCGAATACCATTTATACAGGGACATTGAATAGGGATCTTAATGGTGGTTTTTGCAGAGAGAATAAGAGTTTGGGAGGTCTGTTGATCTAAATTATTTGAACCCACTAGCTCAATTGGGTTGATGTTGAATTTGGTGGAGATTTCTGCGAGTTTCATATCAGAGGGGAGGAGATAAGAGAGAAGGGAGTTGCAGGAGGTTGATGAGTTGCAGGGCTCTATGACTGATTTGGAGAAGGCCATGGAAAAGAGAAGTGAGAAAAAGAGGAGGAATTGCAGAGAATGGGGCCATGTCGATTCCATTTTGTGTAGCTTTCTGAGGAAACAAAACATGAAGAGAGACAGAGGGAATGGTGGCTCTGGAAACGGGAAAAGGGTTTGAAAATGAAGGAAAACTGGCTCTACCTGTGAAGTGAAAGAGATCAGGCAGTCCTTGTAAGAATGATGAAATGCAAGATTGAGACAGAGAGAGAGAAAGAGGGGAGAAAGGGAACTAAACTCTGGTGTCTAGAGAGAGAAAGAGGGGAGAAAGGGAACTAAACTCTGGTATCTAGAGAGAGAAAGTGAGATGTAGGTTTGGGGGAGAGAAGATTAAGCAGAGAGAGGTACGGTGTGAAGAAGAAGCGGAGGTATTTCTCGAGATAGGAGTTCACGTGTGCACCAGATTTCTAGAGAGAGAGAGGGGCGGCGGGAGAAGCGAAAAGCTCATGCTTCGAGCAACGCCAACGACTAGCTACTCCACGAGTGCATGGTTGGTTTAGTAGATTCGAAGGCGACAAGACGAGAGAGAGTCAAGAGAGCGAAGGGCAGAGGAGAGAGAGTCAAGAGAGAGAAGGTTAGAGTGAAGAGAGAGTCTAGAGAGAGAAGGGTAGAGGACAGAGCCGACAGGAGGAGAGTCAAGAGAGAGAAGGATAGAGAAGAGAGAGAGTCTAGAGAGAAGGGTAAAGGATAGAAAAGTCTAGAGAGAAGGATAGAGTAGAGAGAAGGGTAGAGTAGAGAGAGGAGAGAGAGTCTAGAGAGAGAAGGGTAGAGGAGAGAGAGTCTAGACAGAGAAGGGCAGATGGATTGCTTTTTGGGCCCGGATACACCGTACGGGCGTTTATGAAATCATAAAAAGGGGGAAAAGTTTGATATAGAAGGTTGGTAGTTGGACAAACGTTGTCTGTCTTTTTAGCAACGGTGTTCTCCATTCCCAAGGGTTGTATGTCATGATTAGACAACGAAGAAGCCACGCTGGTGGTCCGCCTAGTTTAATGAAGAGGGCTTCAGTGAGTCAACCGAGTTATATGTAGCATTTTCCCTCTAAAACCTATTTTTTGATCGAAATTTCTAGAGATTCATGATTCAAGCCATGGTGATCATGAATAAATTTTTAAAATTGTAAATATATTTTTTTTGGATTTTTTTTTTTAAAAGTTGTTTCATGTAGGTTGGACCGCATTTCTACATATACGGTCCAGAACGTGTAAAGCATCTATTTTAGAGATAGATGCAAGTAGGTGTTTTATTTAAAAACAATAGAAACTAACGATCCAAATATTTTTTTATTAGAAATATTATTTTTTAATTTTTAAAATTTATTTCTTTTTTCATATTCATGATCTCGATGTTAGAAATTATATGCCCTTAAAAATTAAGTCTTAAATCCATCTAAAAAATATACTTATTAAGAGACCCGCATTTCTATATATGCAGCCGTATTAAAACCGGACCCTCCTCTTTTTTATTTTTTTGCACCAACCAAAAGTTATTCTAGTCTGGTGCACTTTGCATAACATAATGGTTCCGTCTATTGACTCACATAAAACTTTTCCTTATTTAATAGTGTGGGACATGGCAATACTATTGATCTCTCCTCACCCCCTCTGTCTCTAGTGACATACCGGCAGATAAAGTGCCAGCAAAATACTATTTTAGGAAAAAGTTATATATAAGATTGACACCTTATATTGTAGAATGACGGTGCATCTCAAAAATATTTTGATAGTTAGAAAACTATCTAATTTATCATATTGACATTGAGATGCATGAACATGTGAGAAAAAAAAAGATTTCAAGTACATGTTGCAACATATTGTTTAAACCGTCCATTTTCAAGATTTTCATGTATTTATAGATATGTTTGATTTGAATTATTTTTTGAGTTTAAAATTTTATAATTAAATATAAAGATAGATTCTTGTGTCATCCTAGTACTATTTTGATACGAAAATTGCATCAATAACAAAGTTTAGAGGTGCACCTTAATTTTATCATTTAAGGTTGCAGCGTTATGCAAACCTCACCTACTATTTTATAAAGATCCGGTTTTGGGGAATCCATGGTTTCATTTATTTGCAATTTTTTATCCAAATTTTGAGGGCCGATAATTTGGACATAGTGATCATGAACCTTGAGGAAAAAGTTAGGAGCTTTTTAATGTTGCAAAATAGTATTTCTTGAAATCTCTTTAGCACCATTCATTTAATTTTTTGTAGAGGCAATTGTTTGCAATAAGGAAAAAAATTATATAAGGTTGCAACCTTAAAATATAGAAATAAAGATGCACCTAAAAAATCCATCGAAAAATGTTGTTTTAATGATGAAAAGCCCTCTAATTTATCATCCCAACTTCGAGATGTATAATTTTCATTTTTTTATTTTTTTAAAAAAGATTTTGAGCCCTAAAAATAGTGCATCTCATAACACATTATCTAGACCATCCATTTTCAAGATTTTTATATTTAGATATCTACTTGATTTTAACCAGTTTTGGAGTTTAAAATTTTATAATTAAAAAAAAAATAGATTTTCAGATAATCCTAAAAGAAAATTATACCAAAGCCTTAATTTGATTGTTTGAGGTAACCACACCCTAATAATAATCTTCACTTGGATTTAGCCTCAATTAAAGTGGGTCCATTGTTATCGAAATCCATTCATGCTCATGCCTCGCATGCCGTATTGCGTACCAATCTAGCAAGACGTTATCATATGGTGCACTAACGCCCTTCACCAAACCAGTTAAAAGCCTCATCATTCTTTACCTCCAACACATGAGGTCTACCTTCCTCAATATTTATTGAACCCTTTGTTTCCATTTCATAATATTTGAGAATTATTCTTAGTATAAGATACAAACAAGCTTCAGATTCAGTGGTTAGCAAGTGACTTTAGCAATGTTGAATTTCAAATTCGACCCCTACTATTGAACTACGTAAAAAATAATGAAAATTTTGTATGGAAAATTTTGTATGGAATGGAATTGAGCCCTATCCTTACGCACTTCCTACCATTTAGGCATAGGTGATTAGGGCAGCGGAACATTCGAAATTTAAAAATAGTGGGGCTATTTCTCGTTTAATCCTCCATAGATTGATTACAGCTGAGAATTTATCTAGTCCAGATCCGAAACTTGAAATTTGAATCCTATCTGGATCTGGGTATGGATCCAAAATTTGGATCCGGATCCAATATCTAGATCTGAATGACAATTTGGGTCGGATCTGGGTATAGGTGAATCTAATCCTATTTTTTAAAATAAACATATATTATTATATATGGAAAAAATTTATATAAGGTTGCAACCTTAAAATGTAGAATTACATATGCACCTCAAAAATCCAATCGGAAAAAGTTGTTTTAATATTGAAAAACTCTTTAATTGATCATCTCAACATCGAGGTGTATGAATATAAAAAAGAAAAAAAATTTGAGTCCCAGAAATAATGCATCTTGCAAGGACCGTCTATTTTCAAAATTTCCATTTGTTTATAGATCTATTTGATTTTAACCATTTTTGGAGTTTAAAATTTTATAATTAGATATAAAAAATAGAATTTCAGATAATCCTAAGAGGTTTTTACACAAAAAGTACATGTTATGATAAACTTTGAAGGCTTGCCTTAATTGGATTGTTTAAGGTGTATAGAAACCACACCAATTTACACATCAAACACAAATTGTTAAATTGGAAGAAAGAAAATATATTCAATCTTGAAGTTAAGATTGATGGGGTTTTAACTAAGATTGAATTGATAGATTTTAATTCTCAGACTAGTGGTGTGTTAACAGAGCAACTGGTTATTGATCATAGGGAGAAACTAAAAGAGTTAGAGGAGTTGAGAAGAGCAGAGGAACTTTATTGGAAACAAAGATCCAGGAATAAGTGGCTAAAGGAATGTGATCTAAACACTAAATTTTTCCATGCCATAGCTAGTACAAGAAGAAAGTAGAATGATATTTCGAGTCTGACCATCCTTGAGTTAGCTCCTGATAATAATAATGATATGATAAAGGGTGTTATTAATCACTTTAAAAAAGCATTTACTAAAGAGGTGGTGGTATCTCTAAGGTTTTCGAATGTTCCCTTTACGATGCTAAATGATAAACATAGTCGTTTTTTGGACAGGGAAATAACTATTCAAGAACTACATCATGTTGTCTTTGCTTTATTTGGTGATAAGGCACCAGGTCCTGATGGTTTTTCTAGGATCTTCTTCCAAAAATTCTGGCAGTTTCTCAAGGATGATCTTTTGGGGGTGGTGCGAGAGGTCATGATCATAGGTGAAATTTTTAAAGGTATTAACTCTACTCTTGTGGAGTTGATATCGAAGAAATAGGTGATTAATGAGCTCTCAAACATTATGCCTATTAGCCTTCTCACAAGTGTTTATAAGGTTATTGCCAAATTCTTGCAGAACGTCTAAAGGTGGTCCTTCCTACTATTATTTCGACTACACAGTCAGCTTTTATTCATGATCGCTAAATTACTGATTGTATGCTGGTGGCGCAAGAATGTATCCATTCGCGAGTCCTGAGCAAGAAGCCTGGCATTCGTTTAAAGCATGACATGGAAACGGCATATGATAGGGAGGAATGGGGAATTCTTTTAGAGATTTTAAAACGGATGGGGTTTGGAGAGCAGTGGAGGAGGTGGATCTCTGGCTGCCTATCTTCAGCTTACTTCTCTATCATTTTCAACCCGAGGCCTTCGTCAAGGAGACCCCCTATCTCCTTTCTTATTCACGATTTATGCTGAATGTTTTAACCTTATATTAAGCATGGTGGTAAGGGCAAGGGTTTTGAGGGTTTCCTAATTGCAAACTCAGATATCTCTGTTTCTCACCTTCAGTATACTGATGATACCTTAATTTTCGTTAATGCTGAGGTTACACAAATAAAAAATGTCACTAGATTTTTGGAGATATGTGAGATTACTTTAAACCTGAAGGTTAATTTTCATAAGTCTTCTATGGTAGGAGTCAGCTGCAGTGATAGTGCTGGCTAAGGTTATGGGGTATAAAGTGGACTCTTCCCCTATTACTTATATGGGGGTTCCGATTTTAGACTCTAAATTTCTTATTGTTGTATGGGATTGGGTGCTCGAGAGAATTCAGGTTAAGTTAGAACTATGGAAACACAAATACCTGTCTTTGCGGGGAAGGGTGATTTTGTTAATATCGTGCCTCGCGAACCTGACGGTATATCAAATGTCCTTAATACAAATGCCAACTTCGATTGCAAAGAGAATTGAGAAGATGATGAGAGATTTCCTTTGAGAAGGAAGTTCCATTCATTAAGATGGGATAGAGTTACCCAAGCGTGAAGGTGGTTTGGGTACACGGAAAGTGACGAGGTTCAACTGGGCCCTGCTATGCAAATAGTGGTGGCGTAGCATTCACCTAAATGATCACCTATGGACCCAAGTGCTGAGGATGAAGTATGGGTTTGATATGCATAATCTATGGATAGGGG